TTTTCCCATCCTAATCTAAGGAAGTTATTTGGGTGCAAAACCAGTGCCTGTTATCAGTAATGGACTGGATGAATTGAAGGCAAACAAACTGAAATGTAATCCAGACAAGACAGAGCTGCTCCTAATAAGTCAGAAGTCAGAACAAGGAATACGGATTCAGCCTGTGCGGGATTGACTTATGCTCCCCATAAAATCTCAGGCTCGTAGCTTGGGCATACTTCTGGATTCAGATATGAGCCTGCATGCTTAGATTTCAGCAGTGGCCAGGAGCGTATTTGAAACATTAAAACTAGTGTACCAGTTGTGCCCATTCCTGGAGATGTCACATGTGGCTAGTGACACATGTCTAGATTACATCTTTTTTGGATTACTGCAACAGTCTACATGGGGCTGCCTTTGGAAAATGTTAGATACTATGATAGCCCTGAAATACTTCAATCAGACTCCTGGGGGCTGCTTACCAGGAACACATAATACTTATATTGCAACAATTCACTGGCTAGCTCTACATCTCCAAAAACAATTCCAGGTGCTGGTCATGCTCTTTAAAGCCCTACATGGCTTGGATACAGGCAATCTGAAGGACAGTACCACTTTCTATGAGCTTGCCTGACTATTAAGGTATTTGGGGGAAGGCTTTTTCTCTGTCTTGCCTCCATCACAGGTGAACTGGTGAGAATGAGGGAGAGAGTCATCCCAGTAGCTGCTATCATCACATGGAATTCCCTCCCATGGGAGGCTTGGCTGGCCCTCTAGCTACTCAATTTCCATGAGCAGGCAAAGACCTTTTTATTTAGGCAGGCATTTGGTGTTTAATTTATTGTGTCAGAAAGATCTTTTTAATAAGGTATATTATGTTTTTTATCTTTTTACTATGTTTTAATGTGGTTTAAAAAAAATCTTGTAATTTAGCATTTCCAGTGGACTTATTTAATGCTTTTTTTAAACTTTTGCATCAAATATGTTTTTGCACTGTTGTTTGTCTTGAAGTTGTTTTTGACTTATGTTGACCCTAGGTGAACCTATTATGGTGCTTTCTTGCCAAAATCTCAGGTTCAAAGCTGGCTTTCTTGGCAAATTTTGTTTGGAAGGGGTTTGCCAATACCTTCCTTTGAGTCTGAGTGTGTGACTCACCCAAGGTCACCAGTGGGTTCCCATGGCTGTGGGTGGATTTCAACCCCCATCTCTAGAGTCCTAGTCCAACACCCAAATCACTACACCACACTGGCACTCAGGATTATTAGCATATTTTGTTCTTAGCTTGATGTGAGTTAGTTTTAGTCCCATCCTGGAAGAAAGGCAGGACTAAGATAGAACAGATAAGGAAACAGAAACAGATATGATGTGGAAATGCTGCCTTTATCATATACTCATGTTAATACTTCCTAAGAACCATGCACTAGACCTTCCTTGTCCTCTTGGAAAACCCAGCACTGAAGCTGAAGCATTAAATGCATTAGCTATTCTGTGAGGACAAATGCACACACTGAAAAATAACAAGGAACAAAAAGCTGTATTCAACTCCTAGCAATGATAAGACAGGTTAGGGTTTATATCTGTTAGCAGAATTCATACATAATATTAACAGAAACTGACTTAATAAACATTATAGTATATACAGTTTCCAGTGAAACTTTCTTTGAACACTTATTCACTTTACCTGTTTGCTTATTTCTGTGATGTTTACCCATATTTTATTCAACCCCATGTCTCCATTCTTAATTTTGTCCAATTCCTTTTGTTTATTAAGCAAATCTTCAGCCAATCTGGGAATTTCTTGGAATGAGGTTTTTTGATTAGTCTCCACTAAAAGACAAAATTAGAACCAAGAGTTATCTATAAATACTAAGATTTGGAAGCACAGTTGCTCCTTATTAAAAAGTGCTTGTACACTGTTTTTGACGATAGCAGCATAAGAAACGCATCTGAGGAAGTAAACTTAAGGTCCAAAACTCATGGCAGAAATAATCCAGTTTGAGATTGCTTTAATTACCTTCGCTCAATGCTAGAGAATCCTGGGAATTGTACTTTATTGTAGCACCAGAGTTAAATGTCTCACAAAACTACAGTTGCCAGAATTCCCTCGCATTTAGATAGGACAGTTAAAGTGGTCTCAACCAGGATTATTTCTGCAGTGTGTTTTGGACCTTAAACCTATGAAAGCTCATGCTGCATGTAAACTACCAATGATTATATATTGTAGACAAGTTTTAAGTGTGCAGCTGATAGCAAAGGAAAAATGGGTTACAATATTTCAATTGTAATGGGTCTCAATATTTTTTGTACAATCTCAATAGCTTCAAAGCATGAAGAAAGTCCTCAGGATCTTCCCAGAGTTCATGACATTAGTTTCCCCTAGAATTTCTACACAATATTATTGTTATTAATAAAGAATATGTGTGTGCTGCCGTTCAATCAAAATTTCAGATCACCCCCTCAGCAATATGGATCATTGAATGCTCATCAAGTGGGGGTTGGGGGGAGTAAGAAAAGAAAATATGCACAGATGATTATATATACACAGATGAGTTAGTCTAACACTGGAATCAACAAAATAGAAAAGCTGCTGGTTTTCATAATACTTACTATAGCTATCAAGAGTTGCCAAAATATTCTGTTTGAAGACACCCCAAAACATTTTCTATTGAACTCATTGGCTATATTATACACTCCAGTGTCTTCCTTTTAAAAACTTGTGACTTATTGCATAAGAGAAGTTATGTAATCATGACAATAGCTCAAATACAGCTGATCATTTTCTATCATGGTTGCTCGATAATAACAAAGACAATAAATAGATGGATCCTGCTTTTCTTGTTTACCAAACACGTACAAGAATGAAAACATTCTTAAAAAGCTGTGAACATATAATGTTTTACTATAGTTTATTCTAGAAAAAGGGGTGGACAACTTGTGATCTTTCAAATATTGCTTGACTGAAATTTCCATCAGCATAGTCAAAATCACCAAAGATAAGGAATTAGAGAAGTTATAATGCAAAACTATCTGGAAGGCTACAAACTACCTACTTCTGAGCTAAAGAAAACTTTGATTATTCACCAGTGTTTTCCTTTTAAACTGGGGGGAGGGGACTGCGCAGCCCTTCAGATGTTTTTGAACTACAACACCCATCACTTCTTGCCATTCGCTATACTGACTACAGCTGCTGGGTTTTCAACAGTATTGGAGAGTCACTTTAAGTTATTTTAAAGAAGACAAATACTTGAGAAGTACTTACTGGTTCGGAACCTTTCCTTTAATCCATCTAGATCTTCCTTGAGAGCAACCTGCATCCATACCAAGCCAACACAAGCTACTACACAAGCAGCCAGAATGACAAACGCACATAAAGGGTAGCAGAGTTTGCAGCATCTCAGGTAGTCACCCCTATAAACAGTAAAAATAATAATGATTCTTTCTTTGCCAAACTATGTCCTACGGATTATAAAACCAGTGATTAACTGGATACAATACTGACTGTAACATAGTAGGCTGTCACTGTAATGCCTGCATATGCAAAAACAACTCTTTGAAATACTTTACAGTTAAATTCTACAGAAGGGCATTGTCAGAAATGTTGGAGACTATTGTTCTGATCCATCAACAGCAACCAAAGTAGGTTAGGGCTTATTAAAATGGTAACAGGTAAGAGATGGGCAAAGGGCAGGCCATGAGCTGCATGTATTTCCCCAAAGCATTTTTGGACAATCACTACCAACTCTTTAAAAAATTGGCCAATTACACCCCCTCTGAAGCCTTCCTGTGGCAATTCTTGGTCATTCTCAGCAGGAATGGTGATGTCAAATCTGGAATGGACTAGAAGTGACTAGATCATGACATACATCACTCGCAGCTACATCTCCTCAGTTGCATAAGAACTGTTCATATAACATTAATCTTATTCTTATTTTCTTTTGATGCACTAAACACATTAACAATTCAAGCTCTCATTTATTTTTATCCATGGAAGCAGTCAATATGAATCTTGCTAAAATGCTATTACTATATTAAGCCTTTTTCCTACAGTATTCCACATATATGAATAATAAAAAATTCAGGACATCCAGTCCTTTGCATGCTAAGTTTTTGCATTTTTTTAAAGTCCCATGCTCTTTTTTATCCCATGTAAAATAAGTAGATGTTAACTGCTAATGGATTTATTAACAGCAATATCCACAATACGATACAATATTGGGCAAGTCATGAATTTTACAAAGGTCCAAAACATACAGCAGAAATAATCCAGTTTGAGACAGCTTTAACCGCCCTGACTCGATGCTAGAGAATTCTAGGAACTGTAGTTTTGTGAGACATTTAGCCTTC